CTTACAAAAAGTTTGTGAGGAGAAGTGGCAATGAGGCCTTCTAAACCCTGGAGCTGTTTGAGACAAAATCCATTAAGTGTGACATTGAAACAAATTGAGTTATAGAGAATAAGATACTAAAAGCAGGTCAATGTTAGGTTTTTGTGTTAACATGCATATCAAGCTTAATCCTTCCACTCCAAGAAGTGATTAACAGGTAACTTCTCCCTTTAAAATGGATATTATCATCCTCCAAACAGGTACTGAGAATACTCCAACTCATCAGGTACAAGCTTTTGTCTAGTGATCTAACACCAAATCTTCCTAACTACGTTGCAAGGAAATGTGTTGTAGCTAAGAGAGAGAATTGCAATCAGATCTTGGGTTAAGCCATTACCATGAAGTAGCAAGGAAAATCTGAAATCTAACACCCTTGAATTAAGTCAAGCACCTCAGTTCTGTATCTGTATGATATCTGTCCACCTAGAAAGGTAACTCCTACTCTTTCCAAATTCCTGGCTGGACAGCAAGCTTTGGGATCGTTAAACTTGAAAGAGCTTTCCGTTGACCTTCCCGGAAGCAACCTTCGATGCACACACCCTCACCCTACCCTTGACCGCAAAATTATGGAGTTAAAAATTCGCTCTTTTGATTTCTTTTAGCCTCGCTAACTAACCTTGTAGACAGCACTGTGAGGAGGAAGTTAGTCTACACTTTCGAAGGTAGCGAGCTTTTCCTTTTCTTCCTCCGTGTAATGGTGGTTTACATAGCGACTTTCGAATTCTCGGCCCTTTTGGAAGAAACTGGTCTGAGTTGCTGTCGGTAAAGCGTCTTCGTCTGCGTGAGAAGATGACACACCGTACTTGCTTGGTTTTCTTCTTATTGACATTTCTTACAAATGGAAAACAGGCCTCTCAGAGTGGCACAATAATAAAGTATTTTCATGCAAATCCAGCATGTAATTGTTCTTTCATGGTGCGTTAAGTGCCGTTGATTTCTGCTACAAACCTGTCATCGGAGATGTTTTTGTCCGGCAACTGGTCGTTAATATCCGAATCTTTCCGATTATCTACGACGGAGGATCGTGTAGCGCAATCGCCCGAGTGATCGTGTAACAACACAGACATTCCAAGCTTACGTCATTTTCTACGATGACTGTTCCTGAGAAATTATCAAGCCTAGCTCGTTGATAATTTTCCTCATTCTTGTAACCTGTCTGCCTTTGAAAATGTAAGAAAAATTTACATACCGATCACTCCTGATCCTGGGAGCAAAACATCTACAGATTTGCCTCCAATTTATATGATGCATTATCTATTGGGTTCATTTTAAACATGGCATTAAGACAAGTATATAAGGACTCCCCCCTCTCCCCTCCTCGGGATGTCATCATGCATCATGCAAATTTTTTACAATAAAACACAGTGCGAAGAATCTCTTATGTAGGGCTTGACAGAGAAACGGAATTAGCTGCAGGCAACGTTTAGCTCAGATCGGCAAAGCTCTCTTAAAACTAAAAGATAACAAAAATCGATTGTAGTATCTTAGGGAGGGTACTATTTTATTGGGGCGGGTGGGTCGAGGTATTTTAGAAAGTTTTTTGCGAAAAAAGTCGTGGCCCTCCCACTTCCCAGAATGGATTAAAGCAGAATGACCCTTCACAAATGCCTACACAAAAACATCTGACCTTCCCACCACCTCCTCCTCCAAGACAAAAAATAGCAGGAGCCAGGCAGCAAATTATTCTGCAGCCTGGCTGACAACGGCGTGCCTGGTTGGAAACAGCCTTATCTGCATAGCCGTGTACAGGAAGGAAATGCTTCGTAGGTCGACAAACCTCTACCTGATTTCTCTAGCCATGAGTGATATCATCAATGCTGTCATCGTAATGCCTTTGACTGTGGGTGTCCTCATTACAGGGGAATGGCCTTACAGCGAAGCTGTCTGCGATTTCCACGCGTTCTTTACCCTGTTTTCTGTTTATGTTTCCCCGACCACAATGGGACTGACGGCCTTCAACAGATACGTACGTATCGTTAAGCCTCAACACTACCCAATCATCTTCACTGAAGCTCGATCAAAAGTATATATCGCTGCAGTTTGGCTGACTGTCGCAGGGTACATTTCCATTCCCAAGATGGCCGGCTGGACTGAAAGTGGCTTCTTCGCCGGACAGGCCACTTGCATCTTTGTGCAACCC